ACACACACACACACACACACAGATACACACATTGGTACATACACACACAATCAGATAACACATGCACATACACACACTTAGATACACACTGATGCACAGATACACACAGATACACACACAGATAGACACATTGACACACAGATACATACACTGACACAGAGGTACACACACGGATGCACAAACTGGCAGATCAACAAACACAGATACACACAATGGCACACACACAGATACAGATACAAACACTGACACACACACTGAGGGAAAAAACGTATTTCATCCCCTGCTGATTTTGAACATTTGTCCGCTGACAAAGAAATCATCAGTCTATAAATTTAATGGTAGGTGTGTTTCAACAGTGAGAGACAGAATAACAAAAAAACTAAATAATTCCAGAAAAACGCATGTCAAAAAAGTTATAAATTGATTTGCATATCAATGAGTGAAATAAGTATTTGATCCCCTATCAATCAGCAAGATTTCTGGCTCCAAGGTGTCTTATATACAGGGGATGAGCTGATCTCACCTCGTTACCTGAATAAAAGACACCTGTCCACAGAAGCAATCAGATTCCAAACTCTCCACCATGGCCAAGACCAAAGAGCTGTCCATGGATGTCAGAGACAAGATTGTAGACTTACAAAAAGCTGGAATGGGCTACAAGACTGTCGCCAAGCAGCTTGGTGAGAAGGTGACAAGTTGGTGTAATTATTCGCAAATGGAGGAAACACAAAATAACTGTTACTCTCCCTCGGTCTGGTGCTCCATGCAACGTATCATCTCGAGGAGTTTTAATGATCATGAGAACGGTGAGGAATCAGCCCAGAACTACACAGGAGGATCTTGTTAATGATCTCAAGGCAGCTGGGACCATAATCACCAAGAAAACAATTGGTAACACACTAGGCTGTGAATGACTGACAACTGCACCGCATCAAAGGGACGATGGACGGGACCATGTACCATCAAATCTTGGGTGAGAACCTCCTTCCCTCAGCCAGGGCATTGAAAATGGGTCGTGGATGGGTATTCAATGACCCAAAACACACAGCCAAGGCAACAAAGGAGTGGCTCAAGAAGAAGCACATTAAGGTCCTGGAGTCTCTAGACCCAAAGAAAATCTGTAGAGGGAGCTGAAGTTTTGAGTTGCCAAACGTCAGCCTCGAAACCTTAATGACTTGGAAAGGATCTGCAAAGAGGAGTGGGACAAAATTCCTCCTGAGATGTGTGCAAACCTTGTGGCCAACTACAAGTAATGTCTGACCTCTGTGAATGCCAGCAAGGGTTTTACCACCAAGTATTAAGTCAAAGGGATCAAATACAGATTTCACTCATTGACATGCAAATCAATTTCTAACTTTTTTGACATGCGTTTTTTTCTGTATTTTTTTTTTTTTGTAGTGGTTGTTATTCTGTCTCTCACTGTTAAAATACACCTACCCTTAAAATTATAGGCTGATCATTTCTTTTTCAGTGGGCAAATGTTCAAAATCAGCAGGGGATAATACTATATCCCCTCAATGTACAATTGCACTCTTAAAGGCCGCAATGCCGGACCGGACCCATGATCAGTGGTACCCATCAGGTGGCTCTAAATGCCTGGGCTACCCGATGGGCCTCTCCAAATATTTGCAGGCAGCATTCTCATGGGACAACTGCTTTGGGCCCCCCATGAATATCTGTTTGCCCCACCTTAAATGCAGCCCTGATCAACATACAAGTATTGTCTCCTTGCCTACTGATTTTCATTGTTATCATTCTCTTTCTTACTTGTTCCTTTCCAGAATACTGTATAATATATGTTAAATGATAGTCAAACTGTCTGGTCACACTGATTCCAAGCTCTTAGCAGAATTCAACTATTCCACTAAAAATTAGACAGACAATTTCATCTTTGACCTTTTCTCCAAAATAAAAAACATGATACAGAGAACACAATGGATAAGACCTCAAAAAAGTCAGGCTCAGATTGCTCTAAAGGATCACAAAGTATCAGAGGCTTATTTTTGCAACTTACTATGAAGCAAGCTCACTGTAGCCAGTGGTGTATTTGGGATTTGGGGTGTCCTAGGCAGGACGGTGCTTGGGCCCTCCCCCACCCCCATTTAAATTTTCCCCACCCTTTCCTGTCAAGGCCACACTTTGACAGACGCTCACTCACTGACAAACGCATACACTCATTGACAGGCACACACTCTCATATACACTGACAAACAATGACATACACACACTATTACTTGGACACACACTGACAGACGCACACACACTGACAGAAAAATGCACTCACTGACCCACACATTCACTCACAGACCCACACTGACAGCCAGACATACACACTGACATACACACACTGACAGCCACACACACATAATCACTCAGATACACACTGACAGACATACATACACAATCACTCACATACACACTGACGGACATACACACATGCGGGTGTGCCGGAGAGTGATGCCGGGAGCCGGAATATGACATCATGTTCCGGCTCCCGGCATCACTCTGTGGCGCGCGAGGGAACTGAGCAGAGAGATCACAAATTAGTGCTCCCTCGCCAGCGCCACCCGCATGGATCTTTAGTTAGCCACCCGCCTGCCTGGACTGTTAGTTAGCCGCCAGTCTAACAAGGTATTTACCTGGGCATTTGGGGGCGGCGTTTTTTGCTGCCCCCTGGAAATTGCTGCCCAAAGCAAATGCCTTGTTTGCCTCGCGGAAAATACGTCCCTGACTGTAGCCCTACAATCCTAATCCATACCCTATAGATATGGTTATGTACATATACCACTGAGATTTCAGGCCCAATTGAGTATCCAATGAGGATAAAAGCAGGCATGAGTACAACAGTCTAAGACAGCTACCCATGAATGGGCCATACATAAAGTTAAAGCATTCATGTCGATTACCTGCAAAAACAGCAGCGAACAACAACTGGATCTCAGCCACCATGATGGATCATTGCTGTCTTAAACATACAAGGCCAAGTGGTTTGACTATTTTCCCTCATTATATTTTGTTACTCTGTATTAGTTTTCACTGTTGGCCTAACTTAATGTTAGTTATTTATCAGATATCTGTGTCTTGACAGGACCCTCCATCTTGCTAAGGAGCAGTACTGAGTTTTTTATAACAAAGTTTTGGATTAGGAATGATTGTATACTGTCCCAGACATAATGCTATTATGCTTGAAGTTAGTTATTTTTCTAATTTCTCATAGCATTTAGCTTTTTATCATGTCACTTACAACCCCCCCTTACCGAGTTAGAGAAATATTTATCTTCAAGTAACTCATCAAATCTTGATATTCCTAAGTCTATCCTCTAATTGACTCTAGCGTGATATTTTATTTTTCTTTAAACTTAACGTAATGTCGGCAAGTATAATCAAGTATGGTTAAGTAGGAGCAGTAGTGAGTCTCAAAACCATCATATAATACAATTCACTTAACTGATATGCTTTATGTTTTGTCTAAAAATGATTGATGGTAGATTTAATTCAACTGTCAGGGTAAATTTGGGTGTTTATTCATGAACTTTGAATTGTTGCAAACTGAAATTTGAATTTCAAATGCAAGCTATGACTAAGTTAGAATTTTTTTTATCCAGATTGGCTGCTTTTATTTCTTTCTATTCGGATTTCAATTTGATATATTTCAGAATTTGGAGAATAAACCCTCTAGTGAGTAAGAAGGAAAAAAAAAAAACCCTCTAATGAGTAAGAAGAAAAAACAACAACAGCAAGTTTATAGCATTTTAATTTTACCTTGATTGACTCAAGCGAAAGAAGTCAATATTGCTAAATGGTCCCTGCATATATACAAAAATAACTTGAAAAAAAGATGGTGGATGTATTTAATTATGCAAAAGGTAACACACAACAAATATTAACCCACTTTAATAATTACATAGTTGGTGGTTTGTGTTTTAATATGATAAAAAAAATAACTTCCTTTGTATAGCTTTAACATTTTAAATTTGATTTATTTTCTGACATTAAATATGGTCCATTGTACCTTACAATCATGCTACATATGTTTTTTTTGTATATTTAATGGTAATTGATATTAATCTTGATGTTTGAATCATGATATATTGATATAAAATATAAATAACAATGCAAGAATAGTTACAAAATAGCTGTGGTATATTACCATTCTGGAAACCACCCTAGTGAGCACTTTGTCTACCAATTCACAATTATATCTTCAATCTTCATTAGGTCTCCCCCGCCGGCTGATTTCAGCAAGGGAGGTACATGGGCGGAGCGTGACCCAGTGCCGAGGGACATCGGCGCTGGATTCAAGTAAGTGACTGAAGGTGTTTTTACCCCTTCAGCGCCAAGAGAGGCTGGGTGCAAGGGAGGGGGGCCCTTAGAAATCTATAGTGCAAGTGAAATGGCTTTCTTTTCTTGGCACTATAGGATCCCTTTAAATTTGAAATTCACTTTTAATTCACAATTCTCACTTTAGTAAATAACAGTCAGGATTGTAAGTTTGGTGTACCTTGTTTACTTGGCATCTAGGTCAAAACTCTATTTTGACACCCCATTGGTTGGTTCCTCATTTACCCCCTTCTGTTGTTTACCCTCTTTTTCATCTGTTATCCCCCTTTTGTATCTCTTACTCCACTCTTGCATCCCTATAATAGCGGGACAGTATAGATTGCATGTTCTTGTCCCTCTGTCCTGGGTTTGTTTCCTGTGTCCTGTTCGAAGACAAGTTTGGGAACCATAACAACTACATCAAAATAAGTTGCTATGGTACCAGGAGATCTCTGGTGCTGGCTGTGCTTTAGAGGGTAAACTGGTCATAGACAGTTTAACCCCAAAGTCTGTGTTCCAGCACCTTGTCGCTCTGCCCCACTATCTTCTGCTGTCTGAAATCTTAGATAATGAAAGGCACAGGCAGCATCAAGCAGGGATGACTTTGATTGGCTTAAAGTAGTCAACTGATGCTCTAAGCCAATCTGTAGGTACCCATTTATTTCAAAAAAGGTTTGTACCTAAAAAGGAGTCTGTCTTGTCTGATAGGGGATAGGATAAAATGATATTATTAGATTGTGTTGCCAAGCTAATTAATTTCCCTCGGATTACAGCCTTGTGTGCTGTCCATAGGGTGATTGGGGATATCGCTTCGGGGTCAGTTTTTAACTCAAAATAGTCTGTGATATCTGTGGATATAGTCTTGGTTAGTGCAGTGTTGTGCAATAATAAGGGGTTCAATTTCCAAGTCCAGGGCCAGGTCAGATTTAGAATGCGTAATGTCAGGGATTTGTCAGCATGATCTGACCATGTGATCACATCGATGCTGGTAGTAGTTACCTGAGAGAGGGCGTTTGGGGTCACCAAGAAGTGGTCAATTCAGGAGTATAAATAAATGTTAAATCTTTAGTGGATGGGTGTTAAGCCCTCCATATATCTACGAGATTTAGAGAGGAGAGGAAACGTTAGAACAGGGTATCACATCTGGATGGGCGAGCTGGGTCTTGTGTGTGGTGAGATCTGTCTAGGAGTGTAGAGTGAACTGCCTTGCAATCCCCCCATATAACTAAGAGGGTGTTGGTCAAGGTTGTGAGGTGCAAGGAGAGCTGTTGCCAAAAACTAGGGTCTGGTTAGGTGGGTGCGTAAATGGAGCAAAAAGAATAGCTGTTGGAACCTATTTTCCCAGTTAAGTGAAGAACAATTATCCAAAAAACAGTCCAAGGGAACAGACCAGGGGGTAACCCTAATGAGATAATCACCAAAGGAAGAAGGAGAGAGGAGAGTCTGTCCTACAAAGTGTAATTGAATATATGTAAATATAGGATAAAGCAGTTAAAATTATATAATTTATTAAACAAAACAAAAAGGGAGGGAAAGGGGAAGAGAAAGGGAAACCTACATATGATACTATTTTCATAGTCTCTATATGTGGCGGACTATGGAGGTTAATTGTTCAATCTGATGTCTTTGAGGATACTGTGGTATTTCTCTTATGCACCGTGGTTATACCGTTGCCAAATATTATCTGATTCTCGTGTAACAAATTTAAAGTTACATTATAGAGTCTCAGATACTTCTTTTGATACATTGTTTCATCGACAATCACTGTGCAAAGTATTCACCTCTTAAGTTGATTTTTATTTTATATGTAGGTTTCCCTTTCTCTTCCCCTTTCCCTCCCTTTTTTTTTTGTTTAATAAAGTATATAATTTTAACTGCTTTCTCCTATATTTACATATATTTAATTACACTTTGTAGGACAGACTCTCTTCTCTCCTTCTTCCTTTAGTGACTATTTTCCCAGTTATTGTGACAAACCAGCCTAGAGGGTCTGCGGTCAAAGTAATGTCAGTCAGTGGGCAAGTAGTCCTCAGGATGATGGCCTTAGTTTTGGTGTCTGGGGAGTTAGCTAAGTAGCTATGTTTGTAGTAGCGGTTAGTGAGAGGAAAGTGCTTGTGTGTGGTAAAGTGTGTTTCCTGTACCATGAGGATGTCTGTGGGCTGTCTGTCAGTCAATCTGAGTAATGAGTGCCTCTTCATGGGTATGTTGAGGCCCTTTACGTTTATGGATGTGCATTTGATGGGTTACGGCATACTGTTTGGCAGTGTGGGGGTCTGCTGAAAACGGAGGGGGAAGGATGGGGTGATGAGGGAGGGAATGTGAGGGAGCGGGACCCAGCAACCCGGACCAGCCGGGTCAGAGGATAGGGGAGGTGGCTACTGGGCTTACAATCTAGGCCAATAGAGTGTGGGGAGCATTGTTCGACAACTCCTCATGTGGCGTGGATTGGGGGGTTGGGGGAAGTGTAGTCTGTGAGGGAGGAGAGGTAGAGAGTATAGGGTCCACAGGTAGAGTCGCCTTTGGGCAAGTCTTGGAAACCATGCTTACGTGGTTCAGTCTTAATACATCAGCAGGCGCCCGCACCCCCCCACGTTCCCCCTACCACTGAGAAACCATGGGGGGGCAAGACGGCAAGCGGCGAGGAGACCAAGGCGCCCGACCCATCTCCCCATACAGTTATGTATTTATATAACAAAATAATATATTTGTGTGCTAGTGAGTGGAGCAATTTATACCATATATAAGACAGAAGAAAGAGTATATATATTTTGGTGGAGTTTTGGGATTACACCAGAGTGTGAAGCAATTTTGAAAACAATTTTGAAAACTATTTAGCACCCAGGTTACATCTGTTCGTATTGTATAGTAAAATAATATATTTATTTATATAACAAAATAGCGAAGGTAACACTGGGTCGAACCATGGTCTCTGCCGATCCATCCTGTCAGCCACCCATGGGCCTGCTAAGAGTTGGTTGAAAAGGCATAAAGGGACACTCCTGGCACCCAGACCACTTCTGCCTATTGGAGTGGTCTGGGTGCCAACTCCCACTACTCTTAACCATGCAAGTGTAATTATTGCAGTTTTTTTTAAACTGCAATAATTACCTTGCAGGGTTAACTCCTCCTCTAGTGGCTGTCTACTAGACATCCACTAGAGGGCACTTCCGTGTCTATCACACAGGTTTGTGCTATAGCGTTGCTGGACATCCTCACGCTGGGTAAGGACCTCCAGCATCGCTCAATTCTCCATAGGAAAGCATCAAAAAGCATTTTCAATGCTTTCCTATGGAGAGCTCTAATGCGCTTGTGCAGCATTGCCGCGCATGCGCATTAGGTCTCCCTGGCCGGCCAGCAGGATCAGTCTAGCCCACCGGCTGACGTAAGGAAGGTGGAGGAGCGGCGGTGACCCGAAACCACCGCGAAACATCGGCGGGGGTCTCAGGTAAGTGACTGAAGGGGTTTTCACCCCTTCAGCAACTGGGGATGGGGGGTGGGAGGGAGAGGGGACCTGCAGTGCCAGGAAAACGGATTGTTTTCCTGGCACTGGAGTGTCCCTTTAATTTACCTTTAATTTATTCTGTCTAGCATTGCCCCCTAGGGAGACCCTCTGTAGTTAGTTAACCCACTTGGTGCAATTTTCATAGCCTAGGTTTCCGGAATAGTTGATCGCAGTCTCTTAATTATGCCAGAATATTCTGAATGTTACTCAATGCGTGTAAACTTAGTTGTGAAGGGGTTAATGTGATCCAAGGGTTCTTGCACTGTAAACCTAACAGATATCAAGGCTTAAAGAGAATATTGATCTAAATAAAAGCTACTGCTTCCTCTACTGGTAAGTGTCATGGTTTGGCTATAGTAAGCAAGCCTGCTGTTTGTGTTTGCTACATAATTGGTACCTATTATATACACTGTTTGACAGCCACAAACTGGTTTCTTTAGAAAGCCTATAGCGCCCATTTAATGCATTAACTCATGAGGTGTTAAGAAGATTCCCCATGCTTCTACTTTAATTTACTATAACATCGTAATCTTATCTCTGTGTTATGGACAGGTTCTGCAAAGGTCTCGTTGAAGTCCAGGACAGTCTCTTTGCAGCCATATGGTTCCTGGATTCTAGGGTCTGTAAGCCATCTGGTCTGTGGGGGTCAATGCGAGCGGTAGTTTGGGAAGACTGGTGTTCGAAGTAGCTGACTTATGAATAGGTGTGGGCCCAGTGGAGAATGTCTGTCAGGGTCCTTAGGGTTGTTGTTGAAAGAGTTGGACCTGGTGGCCGCCAATTTGAATGGAGTTGTCCCAGGCGGCCCGCATCAGTGCCTCCTTCACATGGAAGTAATGCAGGCAGATTATAGCGTCTCTTGGCTGAGTATTATTTGGCGAAGAAGCTCAAAGGGCCCTGTCTATGATGAGCTCTGCTGGAGGGGCTTCAGGTAGCATGCCGCAGAATGTCTCCCGGAGCGCAAAGTTAAGCATGTCCGCTGTAATGGATTCTGGCAGCCCCCTAATTCTTATGTTATTCCTTCGAGATCTATTGTTTAGATCTTCTTGTGCTACCTCTAAGGTCTGTACCTGGTCATGGAGCTCTCGCAGGGCCCTGTTCAGTTTGGCAGTGGTTGTGGAGATATCCTCCATCTTGTCCTTCTACAGCTACGGTGCACCTGATCAAGTCTTCTAGGCCTTCCCTGATAGGGGCCATGTGTTCTGCCAACTCCGCTACTCTGAGTCGGACTCAGGCGGGTCTCCTACACGTGGTGGGCCCTTGTCAGCGCGGTTGCGGAATATCAGTGCTACCACTGAGCTGTGTCTTGTTTTTTTCCCCATCATGGAGGTTGCTACACGCTTGGGGAGACAGGTGGGTCAGGCTGTGGGGGAATTATTTGGCGGCTTGTGCTTTTGTTAGCTATTGTTTTGCCCGATATTGCGGAGCTCTAGCAAGGTGCCGCCCCCACCTATGTTTCTGATGTTATCAGTTCCTGTGTTAAAAGGAAGCTGCAGCTGATCTCAGGTGCTCAATCAATTTTACTACTTTCTTGCTAACTGCTGAGAGAGCTCCTTCTCACGACTACCTCTGTACCGAACTTCTCTGGCTTGATCCTGACTATGCTGACTTCACTCCCAGACTAGGAACAGACTTCATCATCGAATTCCAAAAGTTTTGGGTATTTTAAGATAGCGGCGTCTTTTCTCCTCCTCTTCCTTCTTGGCATCCTTTTTATCCTCCTCCTTCATGTAAAGTATTGATCCAGAGGAAGAAGAGAAAATATTTCTAGAAATTCCCCTTTCCATATCTGCTCCTTCACCTCCGGCTTAAGGTGACAACCCAACGGTCCCACGAAGGAGGCGTGAACATTCTGCCAAGCGGCGTCCGGAATGCCCCCAACTAGCTCCACTCTTTCATTCCCCAAGTCGATTGCAGCCACCGAAGGAATCACTGTATTACCGGCGGAGCTGCCACTAGCTACTGGAACCACCACTGCACCCACCCTAGTACTCTCCTGCTTAGGTGCCCAAAGCTGACCAAAGCTAACACTCCTACCCGAGCTCCCACTCCATGACTCCAGAAAGGATTCAAGACCCTCCAAAATATCCCCAGAAGGCTTAACAGAATACAACTCACCATCCGAACCTCATGCCGGCTGTCGTCCAAGCCCAGGTGCAACGGCGCCTTTAGCCATAAGTCCACATCACAAGGTCTCACCCACACCACAGGTGACCGTCTTGGTAACCTGTAAAGAGAAAACATTCTGGGTAGGCTGTCGGACCGAGTCCTGGCTTGCCTACTCTCACTTGGTCCTGGGAAGTGCCTGGCCTCACCTATAGGGCCGTGACCACACCCTTCTGTCACTTCCTTGTATCCACTCCTAGAACACCCACCAGATGAGCCCAATCTTCTACGCCTGTGTTTTGTAGTCCTAACAGGGCTACCCAAGCTATGCTCCCGGATAGAAACCCCGGGTGCCGTAACAGTCCGCATATTCACTATGGCCATTCAGAAATGT